TTACACTTTGGCCAGCCTTTAACTTTCCTTCATCAAAACGTCTTGTTTGCTTTTCTGCATACTTCACTCCAATGTCAATGGTTGTGTGGAATCCTTTTGTTTTAGCCAGCCCTGCTAGAGCCACCAGTGTAGTCTGAACCTGGGTCATGTTTCCATTCTCAAAAAGATCATTTGCTTCAAATATGTCATGTGGCTTCATACCATAAGCCTGAATAGCCTTAATGAAGTTGCCAATATTTTCCAACTGAGGCCAATTTAATGAAGACTCATTGACCTTCTTCACGGAGCCTGGTTGTAACTTGTTTATAAGTTCGCAGAGGATGATGCCATCCTTCAGCCCCAGCTGGAAGTTGGTGCCAATGCTCATGCCTGTCACCTCTTCTATCCAGTTGCGAAGATCTTCTTCTGCCTGGTGGTCATACTTGGAAGCAATCTTGTTCTTGACCTCGGCAGAGAGCCCGTAAGAAGGGCCCTTGTTGAAGTGGGTCATGGTGCCCGGGCGGCGGAAGGGGCTGCGCTCGGGCTCTCGCACAGCGCTTCCTCGCTCCTGGCCCCGAAGTGGCTGCGCGGGAGATGCTAGGGGCTCTGGACGGCGCGGAGACGCGCTGTGGCGACAGCGAGGCTCGGCCCGACGGGTCCGCGGAGCCTCGGTAAGCTCGGGCGTCGCCTGCTGCTGCACCCGCTGCCCGCACCCCTCTTTAATGATTCTTATGAGCCATTGAAGATAAACTGTTGTGATTATGGAAGCCCATGGCTTCTCTTCATTCTTTGTCAAAATATGTACAGATACGGTTGTAAGCAACTTTTATTTTCGTGTTAATATTAAAGGCTGCAGGCAGGTCTAGAAATTAAATTAAAATTTAACCCATGCTATATTTTAATTGTTGACTTTTTAGTGTCTACATATTTGGAAGCAACCAACCACAGAAGCAGCAAATATTTATTGAGTATTATTAATTTTTGGGTGTTGATTTTCTCAAGTAACTAGTGTGATACCTTTATCTTTGGAATAGACTTTACCTTTGAGAAATTATAGGGTATTTCTCTGCTTTGTCCATCAGTAATGGAGGACTTAACTAAGATAAGATCATGTATTAGAATGTCAGTATTAGAGCGTTGAAGAGCCACTAGTTCATTCTCAAATTATATTGTTACTCTATCTTTTTATTTTATTTTATTTTATTTTTAATGTATTTAGGACAGGGTCTACAGGGTGTATAGGGTCTCACTACATAGATTGGACTCATAGTGATCCTCCTGTTGTTAGCTTCCCAAGCGCTAGAATTACAGGTGCATGATGCCACACTCAATCTCAATTGCTGTCTTAGCATGCCCAGGGGGTGGGACTGGCACGGCACACCAGGGATCGAAACCTGGCCACTGCATCTGCCTAAGCAGGTACTTTAATCTGCTGAGCTATCTGGCTGGCCCTCTACTCTATTTTTAACAGGTAGGTATAGGTTGCCCAGATACAATTTATAGTACTTGACCCTTCATACACCAAGTTTTGGCACCTTAGACAAGGGCCTCAAGGACACCATGCTTTGCACTCCCATGGCAAGCTGTGTACACAGGTCTTCTGACCCAGTCTCTTCTCCTCTCCTTCCTTTTTACCCTCCCTTCCTGTCCCAGGATGACTTCTAACTGCATTCCTATTCATCTAAGTGCTACCTCTTGAGGGAGTTGTTTCCTTAGGATTTAGCCTAGGCCATGTTTATGATGAACACCCTATGCTTTCTCTGTAGTGTGATTTGCTATGCTGTGTTCTGATTGCTATTGCATTGTAAACTCCATGGAAGCAGAGTCCATGTCCTTCTTGTTTATCTCAGTGGTAAATGTCTTAGTACAGCCTTAGAAATAGATGGTCAATAAATACTTCCTAGTTGGTAGCTTGGTTGACTGTCTCTAAGGATATGAACTGTAAATTCCCCAACACACAAAGTGGAATTCAGGCCAAGTAGTATTATATGAAATGAAGCTAGTGTTTTTTGAAAATGTTCATGTTGGAAATCACAAGGGCATGCTGTAATGTTGAATAACCCTGTACCAAGTAGCAGAAATGTCTCTATATTGTGAATGCTAGGAGACAGATAATCAAGAAAGACATAAAAATTTAGATTCAGAAGTTGGGAGTTACAGTAGGATAGTATTAATGCTAAGCACTGAAAAAGTAATGTGTAATAATTGTAAATATGAGCAGACCATCTTTTTTTCTGTCTACCTCTACCTCTGTCTCGGACATAGGATATAGTGACAGACAAGAAGAAAGAAGATCTAGTAATACAACTGCAGATTGCCCCTTTCTGGCCTTGTCTGACATAATGGGGAA